GTAATTCTCCCATTACTCGTTTTTTTGGCAACATGAGCTGCTATTAAAATTATTCTAATTGCACTCCTTTTTAACCTTTGTTATAAAGAGTTTCTTTATAATATCAGATTCCTAGGCACAGACTAGAAGTGTATCTGATTCGGCCTCTGGTGACTTTTCATATCCATCCTGGCCAGAAAGGGTCACTATGTCAAGAGGACCTGCATTAAGAGTGGTGGTTCCTTAAGAATCATTTTATTTTCATTACTTGCTTGAGAACCTGGAGGAAGCTAGCAGCGTGGAGCTAGAAGGAGAGAAAGGGAGGTGAATACAAGAAAATTAATAATACATAGAGTGGGATTCCCTGTTTGTTATAAACTTAAAAAGAAAGGACGCTGATATGTAAGATGTGTCAGTGCTGGGTGGTAGAATGATGGCTGATCTGTTTTCTTTTTTGTGCATCTATATTTAAAAGAAATTTGTGGTTTTTATTATGCAAGTTATGGTACCTATTCATTGTAGAGAAATAGAATCTGTAGATTTTTACAAGAAAGCAATAACAACCTCCTATAATTCTACCACCCAGAAATAATGACCCTAATATTTTTTTTCCAGATATTTGTCCTATGTGTGTTAACACATATATATCCTAAATTTATTTACTTTTGGCAAAACCACAGTGACAATGAAAACCATTGAAAGATGGTACATTCGGAAAAAAAAAATAACTAAATAAGGAATTTATTTCTCTTAGGATATAAAAGAAAAATATTTGAAGTAACCAGAGAGGACCCACCTTCATTTATCATCCTTTTCCCTATTTTTTTCCATAAAGAATACAGATGACTTCTGCATCCAAATTAATAAAGTCAATTAATCAAGTCTTTTAAATGGCTCAAATAATTTTTTTTAAAAAGTCAAAGGGCTGCACATACAAAAGGAGCCCAGAGACCAGAGGCCGCAGCACCAAGATCCTATGAGCGAAGCAAAGGGGCAGCCCACAGCCGCTCTGCCTCACTGACCATGTGTTTACACAGTGCCCTTTGCCCCCCAGCTCCCAGCTCCCTCTCCTCACTGTCGCTCTCTCACCTGCCCCTTCCCCCAGAAAATGATGAAGGACAACAACCTGGTCCGCCACCTGGACGCCTGCGAGACCATGGGCAATGCCACGGCCATCTGCTCGGACAAGACAGGCACGCTCACCACCAACCGCATGACAGTGGTGCAGGCCTACGTGGGCGACGTCCACTACAAGGAGATCCCCGACCCCAGCTCCATCAATGCCAAGACCATGGAGCTGCTGGTCAATGCCATCGCCATCAACAGCGCCTACACCACCAAGATTCTGGTAGGTGGTACAGCCTCCGCCAGAGGGGACGCCGTCCGGTGGGGCGGCACAGCAGCACTGGCAGGGGGAGCAGTGTGAGGCACAGGTTTAAATCCTGCTGATGTATTTTGGGGTGGTCAAGTCACAAGCAGCCTGTTTCTGTTTGACTTAACTCTGATGTTTGCATGACACAAAAAAAAGATTGTTGTTAATTGTGTTTCTTAGATGCTGCGTTGCCCTCCCAGCAACAACAAAAACTGACTGTTAGCTTTTGCTGTGTAACTGCTCCAAAACGTAGAGGCTCAAAACCAACCTGTGTTTAGCTCACGATTCTGTGAGTCAGGAGTTCAGGCTGGGCTCAGCTGGGGACGCCGTTCCTTGCACGTCTGCGGTGGCTCACGTGCACAGCTCTGCTGATCTTGGCAGGACTGTAGGCTGATCTGGGATGACCTCAGCTGGGGTGGGTCATCTCTGCTCTATGTGGTCCCACCTCCGCCAGCAGGCTGGTCTGGGCCGTTCACATTGTCATTTTGCCGCATCCTGTTGGCCGACACAAGTTGAGAGGCCTGCCCTGATTCAAGGAGTAGGGAAACAGAGTCCATCTCTAATGGGAGGAACTGCAGAGTCACACTGCGAAGGGCATGAATTCAGAGAGGGGACTGATTGTGGCCATTTACACAGTCTACCGCCGATGACATTGTTTTAATGGTAATGATATTACTAGTTTCGATCAGAAAAGCCATGAGTTCCTGTCTCAGTGAGCTGCCTAGACTCATTCTGCTGGAATCCCTGTTTGATTTAGAAGCACGGGTTGCCTTTTTTTTGGTAATTAACCAGCATTTGAATGAAGAGAAATACAGACTTGCCCATCCCGAGGTCCGTTGGCTCCCAGATGTAGGGCATTTCTGCAGTGCGAGCATCTGAGTGAGCAGCTGACCTCTTCTGCTTACCTTGCCAGTGTGCCCCAGTCCTGACCTCTTCCTTCTGCCCCTGAGCCAGCCCAAACCTTCAGGCTCGGACTGGGTTGCAGGAGCCGCCAGCAGCTCTATCCAATCTGGGAGAAGAGCATGAGTCAGCAGCGAGCAGCAGAGGATGGGTAGGGGATGTGGAGGGGTGGTTCCTGCCTCCAGACGCTGGGGCTTCAACCCCATCACCCCAGAGCTGCAGGCTGAGGAGGCAGCAGTGACAGAAGGAGAAAGTAGGTCGGGAGAACGTGTGCAGATGGGCTGATAGAGAACGCTGGTGGGGGATGCCAGAAATGACGACGTTTTCGTCTTCTTCCCACCCCCACCCCACCCCCTACCTCCTAGCCCCGATTTGGGAACCAAGAGAGATCAGTGATGCTTTATGCTGTTCCCCAGGCCTTCCTAAAAATAACTGAGATGCTGTTAATGATCTCGTCCTGCAGATATGGCAGATACGGCAGTGGGGCGATTCCCAGAGCAGGCTTGGAGTGATGGGAGCGGGCGTGTGGGCAGAGCCCTGCAAGATGGTCTTGTATTGAGATGTGTGTTATGCAATTACAGTGAAAAGGAGTTTTGGGATCTGCCAGGAGGGCTGCGAAACATCTCTGCAGCGATAAGTCTCAATTAGGCAGTGTTTCAGAGGACCAGTGGCAAAGCCAAAATCTCACTTCTAGATGTAGTTGGCTGAGGCTGTGTTCAGGGTGGCTTAAAGGACAGGGATGCATCAGTCCATCTGGGGAGAAAGTGTAGCTGCCAAGACTGGAACAGCTCAGGGACTTTGGAACCGGGATCCTTGGTTTGTAATCAGGCCAAGTCACTTACCGATGTCCTTCTTCGATGCTTTGCACCCTGGCATCCTAGGACTCCTGTGCCTCTCTTTCTGAGTCTTCCCTGAAAGAACCTTGGCCACATGGTTCTCCTTGCTGGGGGTGATCAGTGTGGAAGAGATAGCAGAGACCCCTGGTATGACTGGGTGGTGGTTAAAGTTCACACTCCGGAGCCACACAGCCTGCGTTCAAATCCTTCACTAGCTGTGTGACTGTAAACAAGTTACTTAACCTCTCTGTGCCTCAGTTTCCTAGGGGAAATAATAGGATTATTATGAGAATGAAATGAGTTAGTAAGTGGAAAGTGCTTAGCACAGTGCCCGGCGCATATTGAGCATCCAGTGAGATTAGTGTTGTTGTTATTCAGCAGTAAGATCACCCAGTGAAAGGAGATTCCATCTGTAGTCAGAGGCTAATCAATGTCTGAACAGACCGCAGAGGCATCAGGGCTACAGAGGGAAAGGGTCTTGCCCAAAGTTACACAACCAGTTGGTGGCAAGCCAACTTACAGATACCCTAAAGGCAGCTAGCTGTTGAGTAGGGTGTCCAGATTAGGCTCTTGATCATTAAAACCAATCCTGCGGCATCGTTAGCATTGGGTGGCCTCAGGAAGAATGGCCTGGGGTGCAGAGGGTCAGATTCACAGCCAGGACTGCCAACCATACTGGGAGAAGGGGCTTCCAGCAATGGCCCGTCTACGCCCAGAGGAATCCTGAGAAGAGTCAGGGGCTGCTCGGTAGAGGGTGGAAGTCCAGCCAGCCTCCAGACCAGGCTCAGAAATCTAGACGGCAGAACATCCTCACCATGCAAGAGGAGGTGGGCGGGAAAGGCACGCACTGTCCGCGCACTGCCCATCAGTTGTGGCTGGGAAGTGAGCCTGGCCTGGGAAACAGCTCCTGGGCAAGGCTGTTTCTCCCCCTCCATGAGGGGATTCTTCCGTGTCGTCCCACTGTCTGATGCAGGCTGTGGGCTCTTCGGGAGTGTGAAACAGCTGAATTATCTCTGCTTCCCTGGCATAGGCTCTTGGGAAGTACTGGGTAGGTGGGTGACGTAAGTGAATTGACTAGGGAATAAATGTATGGATATGTAATCAGTGAGATGAGGACCAGGTAGGAAGGGGGATGGATAATGGGTGCAGGATGGATGGATGGATGGTAGATGTATAAGTGGATGAGTAGACAGATGGATGACTATGTGGCTGGTGGATGGATGACTATGAAGTGACAAGAGGCTCAGCACAGGGCTCTCTCTCTGTTCTACTTTCTTATTCTTGTGGCAGCAAGAAGTAGGAGTTGGCCCTGGTCCCAGTCCCATGGCCAGTACCAGTGTTCTCTTGGTACCTCCAGCCTGCTGAGCTCTCTTTCGGAACTACCCTCAGCTCTCTGGTCTACATTGATCCAGAGACTTCTGAATTAGCTCTATTTCTAAAAGATTAAAAAAAAAGAAGAAGAAGAAACTAGATGAGTAGTTGCAAGGGTAGGTTATGTGGGTGTAATCTACATGCATTCCCAGATCTTAGGGACCACCTGGTCCAACCCTGTCACTTTATTCTGAGGCCCAGAAAGTAGGTGACATCATATCTCCAGTTCATAGATAAGGACACTGAAGCTGGGAGGAGTTAAAGAATGTGCCCAGAGTCCCAGAGTGGATGAGAGGCTGAGCCAGGATTCGAATCCAGGTCTTTCCAGTCCAGAGCTTGCACTCCATGCCCAACTCCTCTGGCTGCACCTTTGCCTTGACGCAGTTCCAGGGCTGCAGTGAAGATCAGATGAACAGATGAATGTGTGGCTCCCAGTACAGTGCTTGACATGCAGCAAGTGTTCAGTCCATATCAATTATTGCTCTTATTACCTCTATTATTATTTCTGAGCCTTACCCTGTGTACTTTGCTTTGCCAGTCCCTGTCTTGCTTGACCCTGCACATGCCTTCCAGGTAATCAAGGCAAATACAACCATTCTTATCCTGCAGCTGAAAAAATGGAGCTGCAGAAATATCAAGTAACCTGCCCAGGGTTGCTCCTGACACCAGGAGTCAGAGTTGAGCCCAGAGAATTCTGGAGGAGTTTTAACAAGCTGGGGAGGGGGCAGGGTCATTCCAGGCAGGACCACAGCCCAGCCAAGATCCAGAGACCTCTCGGGAGATGTGGCCGTCCGTGGCCTAGGCATTTCTTGGGGCTAGAATGATGGCAGGGTGAGGCTGGGAAGGCTGAGGGGGAGTTGGGTGGCAGCAGATAAGTCCTTAACAGGCTTTCTCCTCACAGTGCTCAGAGCCTCCCAGGCACGGGTGGACAGTCGTGTGAGGGCCAGAGCTGCCAGCAGGGAGGCCAAGAAAAGTGACCCAGGAGGGCCCTCACAGAGGGCCAGCCTCAACCCCATGCCCAATCCCTTCTGAGGATGGTGGAGCTTTCTTCTTCCCACTCCTATTTCTAACCATTGGGAGCTAAACTTGCCCTCCGAGGGAAGCTATGTGAGTCATCTTTTAGTTAGAAATTGCTTCCCTGCCTCAGAAATCCTGGCACCTTCAGATGTGCTTTGTCGCCTCCAACTCTGAACGTCAAGGCTTCTACTAGCTTCTTTTCATCACCTGCTGCTTCTCGGGGCCCAGCTAAGCTTTAAGATGGAAATAGCCCCTTCCTCAGACTTCAGAGGCGCTGCGCTTTCTGGGGAAGACATCCTCCTTTTCCACCCACGTTTATTCTGTGCACTGAAACCACCCAGGCGGACTTTAATTTTACATTATATGAGACTGCCTTTGAAGTAGGTTGACACTACGATTAACATTTGAATTATTAAACTGAAGATGGGCACTCATGGCGCCAAACTGTTGGAAGTTTACGGGGTATTTCTGAAAACATAAACTGTTGAAAAAAAAACAAATCTCCTTGGCATCCCTGAAGGGGTTCTGGAGGAAGGAGCGGGATTTTCCTGGCAGGTTGGTTTTCCTAAATAAATAAGCCAAACTTTACCTAGTTAGAAACAGTCCTAGTCTTCAGTCTACCCCATCACCAAACTGGGGTGCCTCCTTACCCCAGGAAGCCCCAGTAACCCCCAAGACGCAGGAAGGGTGTGCTTGATTGTATTTCTCACACGTCCTAGAACTAGAGCTCCTAGGTGACAAAGGCAGTGGGGAGGTGACTCTAGGAAACAGAGAGAGTCAGCCCTTGACCTCACATCTCCTGGCTCTAAACCCAGGTGCAGCTGAATATTCAAATGAGCCTCAAACCCCTCCCTGAGTCAAGCCAGCTCTGCAAGAGGCTCTGGACAAGATGGGGGTTCCAGAAGGCACAGAAGACCCTGAAAGTGACTTAGCAGGGCATTAAGATGGGGAGATG